AAGCAACCAAAATGCTGGCTTGCATCCATAGATGCTTCTCAAGCAAATCCTGGGACATCATTCTCCCCTTGTACTTGGCCTTGGTGAGGCCACAGCTGGAGTACTGTGTCCAGTTTTGGACCCCACAATTCAAAAAGGATGTGGAGAAGCTTGAGAGAGTCCAGAGAAGAGTCACACGCATGATCAGAGGTCAGGAAAACAGACCTTACGATGACAGGCTAAGAGCTATGGGGCTCTTTACCCTGGAAAAGCACAGGCTCAGGGGTGATCTGATGGCCACCTATAAGTTTATCAGGAGTGACCACCAGCATCTGGGGGAACATTTGTTCACCTGAGTGCCCCAAGGGATGACAAGGTTGAACAGTTATAAACTACTGCAAGACCGTTTCAGGCTGGACATAAGAAAGAATTTATTTACTGTCCAAGCCCCCAAGGTCTGGAATAGCCTGCCATCAGAGGTGGTTCAAGCACCTACATTGAACACCTTCAAGAGAAATTTGGATGCTTATCTTGCTGGGATACTATGACCCCAGCTGACTTCCTGCCCTTCGGGTGGGGGGCTGGGCTTGATCTTCCGAGGTCCCTTCCAGCCCTAATGTCTATGAAATCTATGAAATGGTAGGAGTCTACTACAGACCCCCTAATCAGGACCAAGAGCTCGACCAGGATTTTGCCAAGAAACTGGCTGAGGCTGCATGCTCCCGGTGCATGGTTGTCTGGGTAGTTGAAGTCTCCCATGACATCTAATGGGAAGAGCACTCAGCCAAATCCGAACAGTCACAAAGCTTCCTCACATACGTCGACAAGCTGTATCCGAAGTCTATGGACCGACAAGAGGCAAAGCACTGCTTGACCTGGTACTGGCAACGGGGGATGATCTAGTCAGTGACCTAATGATCAAATTGAACCTGGGAGACAGTGACCATGAGCTGATCACATTCACTATCCACCGTAAAGCTGGCTAGTCAGTCAGCAATGCAGAAGTCCTTGACTTCAGGAATGATGACTTTGACAAGCTCAGGAGGCTTGTTGACAAGGCCCTAAGGGACCACGACCCAAAGGGGAGGAGAGTTCAGGATGAGTGATTGCTCCTCAAGGGAGAGATCCTGAAAAAACAAGCAATGTTTATCCCATCTCAGAGGAAAGGCAGCAAAAGGGCACAGCAGCCCCCATGGCTCTGCAGGGAACTTGTGGACCTCCTGTGTTTAAAAAGAAAGACCTATAAAGGATGGAAGGCTGGATCCACCCCAAAGGAGGAGTACTCTGCATGGGTCTGGACCTGTAGGGAGTGAGCCAGGAAAGCCAAGGCTGTGACTGAACTCCAACTGGCTACATGTATCAAAGACAATAAAAAGTCATTTTTTAGACATGTGGGGAGCCAGAGGGAAAGCAAGGGTAACATTGGACCCCTGCTAAACCAAATGGGACAACTGACAACTGATACCCAGGAAAAAGCCAGCTTGCTTAATGGGTATTTTGTGTCGGTTTTTCACCAGCCTCAAGGGACAGCCCTGCTCAATACGGTACGGGACAGTCAGGGTGAGGGAGAATTGTTACCCTACAACAATGTAGACCATGTGAAGGAACACCTTGAGAGGCTGGACACCTTCAAGTCAGCTGCCCCAGACAGTTTACACCCCAGGGTACTTAAGGAGCTGGCAGGATTCATAGCTCTGCCACTGGCACAGATCTTCGAGAACCCATGGCGCTCAGGTGAAGTGCCTGAAGATTGGAAGAAGGCCAATGCGGTGCTTATCTTCAAGAAAGGGAGGAAAGTAGATCTGGGGAACTATAGGCCTATCAGGCTGATTTCTATCCCAGGGAAGAGCTTGAAAAAAATTATCAAAGAGACTATTCTTGACAAACTGGCTGATGGCAACATCCTGAGGGATAGCCAGCATGTGTTTGTTGTAGGTAGGTCTTGCCTAAACTATCTCATCACCTGGACAAGGGAGAAGAGATTGACGTCATATATCTTGATTTTAAAAAAAGCCTTCAATCTGATGTCCCATCTCCTCATGAAAAAACTGGCCAACTGCGACCTCGGCTACATCACAGTCTGCTGGCTGGGGAATTGGCTCCGAGGTTGGACCCAGAGAGTGGTGGTTGATGGAAGTCAATCATTGTAGTGCGCCGTGACCAGTGGTGTCCCCCCAAGGCTCTGTCCTTGGGCCTATTCTTTTCAACCTCTTTGTTAACGATGTGGACATTGGTATCAGAAGCCGATTGGCTAAGTTTGCTGATGACACCAAACTTTGGGGTAAAGCGTCCACACCCAAGGACAGGACAGTGATCCAGGCCGACTTTGACAGGCTCGGAAAATGGGTGGACGAAATCCTGATGGCCTTCAACACCAAAAAATGCAAGGTACTCCACCTTGGGAAGAAAAACCCGCATCATGCTTATAGGCTTGGCAGTGCTCCTCTGGCTAGCACCACAGCCGAAAGGGACTTGGGGGTCATGACTGACCACAAGATGAATATGAGCCACCAATGTGATGTTGCAGCCAGCAAGGCGAGTAAAACTCTGGCTTGCACCCATAAATGCTTCTCTAGCAAATCCCAGGATGTCATCCTTCCGCTGTACTCAGCCTTGGTGAGGCTGCAGCTGGAGTATTGCATCCAATTCTGGGCTCCACAATTTAAAAAGGATGTGGAGAAGCTTGAGAGAGTGCAGAGGAGAGCCATGTGCATGATCAGAGGGCAGGAAAACAGGCCTTACGATGAGAGGCTGAGAGCTATGGGGCTGTTCAGCCTGGAAAAACCCAGGCTCAGAGGGGACCTGATGGCTGCCTATAAGTATATAAGGGGTGTGCATCAGGATCTGGGGGAACGCCTGTTCACCAGAGCACCCCATGGGATGACAAGGTCAAATGGTCACAAACTCCTCCAAGACCGTTTCAGGCTGGACATAAGGAAGAACTTCTTTACTGCCTGAGCCCCCAAGGCCTAGAACAGACTGCCACTAGAGGTGGTGCAAGCACCTACTCTGGATTCATTCAAGAAATGTTTGGATGTTTATCTTGCTGGGATCCTTTGACCCCAGCTGACTTCCTGCCTTTGGGGCAGGGGGCTGGACTCGATGATCTCCCAAGGTCCCTTCCAGCCCTAATGTCTATGTAATCTATGAAATGTGCAGTGTGTGGTGCCACAGATGGGTCTGTGGCGCCACACACTACACAGGTGCACTCATCTGGGCACAGCCCTAGTATGAAAGCTTTTCCTAATATCTAACCTAAACTTCCCTAGTTGCAACTTGAGACCACTGCTCCTTGTTCTGCTACCTGGTCCCTTCTAAACTCTTCCTTCCACCAGTATTTAAGACCCGCTCTTCTTTTTAACTGTCCATCAGTCAAGCTGCCCTTTGTTCTACAGTTCTGCTGTCTGTGAGCTGCTCCTGGCCACGAAGCACTGATTTCACAGCCCTGCAGATTGTTTTTAGTGCATGCCAGTGAAGTGCTATTTGTTTTGGCTTCTATTTTAGATGGAATAATATAGCCCTAGTCCCCTAGCTTATTTGTAAACCTTTCTAATTTCTTTTTAACTGGAGAAAAATGTTATTTTGTATGTCATGACACACCTCACCATCTGCATCCCTCTTTTCCAAGTCCTAGATCCACCCGAGTCTGTCAGTCAGTACCCACACTGTCTAAAGAGGCGGAGAACCACCAGCCCACACTGTGATGGCAGCCCAGGCAGCTGGACCGACAACACACCAGCTTTAACCCACTAGTATTAAAGAGCATTAGAAGACTAGCAGCTCTGGTGCCACTCGCCTCCGAAGAGCTGGGGCACCAGATGCCAAAGAGTGCCACGGGCCTCGGCGCTGCTGTGAGGACTGCGCTGCTCTGAGGCCCGTTCAACTTCATTTGGGGCTTATTGGGCAGGGACGTTGCGGGGTCCCTTCATATCCCCACGCAGCCGTGCCCGGCCCTCGCACCGGCCGTCGCGGAGCTCCAGGGCAGCGGGTACAAAGAGCCCCGCCCAGGAAGCGGGGCAGGCCCGGCGCGCGCTCGGGCCCGGGCCGGGCCGCTGGGCGGG